CTATTTAAAATACGAGGGGTGATCCAAAAGTCTTGGACGCCCTGCTCTAATTTTGTTGGTTTTTGATAAAATTACTTTAAACTTTCCAATAATAAAGACCAACAACCAAACTACTTTGTGTGTTAATTTCATGGAGAAATTATATATTTGATGTAGTTTTCTAGATAGTTTTTAATGTAGGGACCCTGCCACCCGGAACGGTATACGCACATGACAACTTTCAGCCTTAAATGTTCCCGCCATTTCACTTGTTTCACAAGTCTTGACCACTATCTTTCTTTGAATTTTGAATGTTAAACCATGTTAGTTTACTTCCTTTGTTATTAGGCAATCAATTAATTGTGTTTTGAATATCATGGCATATATGACAATGGCTGTATATGTCAAATTCTAAGAAAATGACATCAGACAAGCAACCCTCATTCTGGTATCATTTTTGCTCCAAGATGGCTGCTGAAATGGAGAACATGAAAGAAATCAAAGTGGAACAAAGTATACAACAAGATATTCTCACTTTTATTGACCTTGAGCAGCTACCATATGCACGATATAGTCTAGATATGGCTCTGTGCGATTTTCTTCCATTTCTGAAGTTGAAAGAAGGGTTGGAAGAAAATGTTTTTTACTCATTGGATGAGGTTAAGAGTGGCACTCCAGCAGCATTTGTATCACATAAGCAATGGCGGTTTCATAAATGTCTTTCATTCATTGGTAAAGCGGTATGAAAAATGTGTTCAAATTCGTGGAAAATATGTTGAAAAGTAGGTCTTATTACGTGAAAATGATGATGGTAGATGACACTCAGATTGAAAATCGGAAATTCTCTCATATCATGAATGGTGTTAGGTTATGCACCTGGACCTAAAGTATTTGCCATATTATAACAGTTGTGACGTGATTTACTATATTCAAATACCGTTCCGGGTGGCTGCGACCCGGTATTAAAAACTATTTAGAAAAGTAGCTAAAATATATTATTTTCTGTTGAAACTTATACACAAAGTTGTTAAGATGTTGATCTTTATTATCTGAAAGTTTCATGTAATTATATTAGAAAATAGCAAAGTTAGAGCGTGGCGTCCAAGACTTTTGGATCACCCCTCGTATATTAAAACTAGTGGATTACAAATGGCTGAATGAATAGCTTGTGAAGTATGAAGTACAAGGGCCATGACCAGACTGTTATATGAGACTAATATCTTACTTATACATATAATAATATATACTAAATAATACTTATGTGTTATGACTTTTTAAGGCCAAAAATAATTATAAAATAATCAGTTTATAAATCAAAAGTACAATATACATACATGTATGTCAAAGATGGAATACTTATGCATTGATCGGAAACTTGTACCAGATGATCAAAAGTTACACTACCAAAACAAAACTACAATAAAAATGTTACAAAATCTTTCTATTATCTAAAGAAGTGAGCATGTCAATAAGAACCAAACAATAATGGCATATTGATACTTGGAGGCATCTGTCACATAGGTTTCCTTAATGACTTTTGTGCCAGACAAGCACATGTGATATATAAGCACAGGTATCATGTCCATGTGTTATTTAATCAGGCAATCCTGCAAATATCTGCACAGGCCTCTATGCAGGATGCACAACATGAGATACTGCCTCTTTCATGTCTTTATTCATTATTCCTTTCTAAGTTGGCCTATATGTAGGATGCACAATCCCTTGACTCTTTATTCATGATTCCTTCCAGAGTTGAACTGTTTTATTTATTGTTCTTATGTCACGTTTGATTAGAGATATAAAAATAAATAATAAAAATAATTCCTTTCTCCAAGTGCAATGTAAACATGTTCATATCTTCTTCAATTACCATCTTTTGAAGGCAATGTATGATTGTAAGTGTTGAGGGCACAATAATGATAGAATATCAAAGGCCCTCAAACAGATTCTAACTAATTTAAGAATTCTCCAGCCTATATGTCATATATTTATGATGAGAGATAATGATCCAATACATTTAAGATGGGAGATGATGTGCATCTTGTAGTTGGAGCATTAAAGGAATTCTAGGTGATAAAATTAACAAAATATTGCTTCTGGGACAAGATCAAATGACTTTAACATTTTCTTTACCCCCTTTACCCCCTATTTTGTAATTTAACAATCAACACAAGTACATGTACCATATTTCAGCAGATATCGTAAAAATTCATAAAAATAATTTTTGATCGATCAAATCATGGATCATAAGACCTGAAGTGTTTTCTCTGAGGTCAGTGTGGTACATTTTAATTATTTCAAATTTTGCATTAAGTGCTGCACAAGGCTGATATTGATCAAATACATTTATGATGAGAAATGATAGACATCTTGAGTTGGAGCAATAAGTGCTGCACTTGTATGATATTGATCAAATACATTTATGATGAGAGGTGATACACATCTTGAGTTGAGAGCCATTAGTGCTGCACTATGATGATATTGATCAAATGTATTTATGAGAGGTGATACACATCTTGAGTTGAGAGCCATTAGTGCTGCACTTGTATGATAATGATCAAATACATTTATGATGAGAGATGATATACATCTTGAGTTGAGAGCAATTAAAGCTGCACTATGATGATATTGATCAAATACATTTATGATGAGAGATGATACACATCTTGAGTTGAGAGCAATTAGTGCTGCACTATGATGATATTGATCAAATGTATTTATGAGAGGTGATACACATCTTGAGTTGAGAGCTTTTAGTGCTGCACTTGTATGAAAATGATCAAATACATTTATGATGAGAAATGATGTACATCTTGAGTTAAGAGCATTATGTGCTGCACAAGGCTGATAATGATCCAATATATTTATGATGGGAGATTGATATTGATCAAATTCATTTAAAGGGGCAACAAGGACTGTAGAGAGAAAATTAGAATTTTTAAATTTTTTTCTGAGTTATCAGGTCAATATTTTGCTTAACATCTTCTTTGAAATACCTATTTTCTTAAAAATGTATGGATAAACTATCAATTTCAGCATTAAGAAGTGTAAATTCAGCTCAAAGCTTCTATAAAGTGAGTCCCACATATAGATTTTTAAGATTCACCACGTTTCAAGAGGAATATCAGCTGAAATAATGTTCATCCAGGGGGTTTCTTTGTAGTTAATAAGAAGAACACAAATGTGTACAAAATGTCGCCACCTATGGGTCATCCCATCAAATGGTTATCCTAAAAATGAGTAGATAAGACTTTACAGACACAATTTGAGGACGGAAAATCCAAAATGGCCACCTTAAAATTTACCCAGAATGCCAAAAAATCAGTCAGTTCTAGATTTTCATACTAAGAATCACCCTTAAAAATTTGAAATTGATCCGTCACACAGTTAACCAGAAAACATGTAAACAAGATTTTACAGAGATTTGAGGACAGAAAATCCAAAATGGCTGCCTTGACATTTACCCTGAATGCCCAAAAACTAATCAGATCTTGATTTTCATACTAAGAATCATCCATGAAAATTTGAAATTGATCTACCAAACGATTCACCTAAAAACGCGTAGACAAGACTTTACGGGCAAGATTTTAAGACGGAAAATCCAAAATGGCTTCCTTGACATTTATCCAGAATGCCAAAAAACTAATCAGATCTTGATTTTCATACTAAGAATCATGCCTGAAAATTTGAAATTGATCTACCAAACAGTTCACCTAAAAACGCGTAGACAAGACTTTACGGGCAAGATTTTAAGACGGAAAATCCAAGATGGCTGCCTTGACATTTATCCAAAATGCCAAAAAACTAATCAGATCTAGATTTTCATACTAAAAATCATCCCTGAAAATTTGAAATTGATCTACCAAACGGTTTACCTGGAAACGTGTAGACAAGACTTTACAGACAAGATTTAAGGACGGAAAATCCAAAATGGCTGCCTTAACATTTACCTAGAACGCCCAAAAACTAATCAGATCTAGATTTTCATACTAAGAATCATCCCTGAAAATTTGAAATTGATCTACCAAACAGTTCACCTGGAAATGCATAGACAAGACTTTACAGACAAGATTTTAGGACGGAAAATCCAAAATGGCTGCCTTGACATTTACCCAGAAGGCTTAAAAACTTACCAGATCTAGATTTTCGCACTAAGAATCATCCCTGAAAATTTGAAATTGATCTACTAAACTGTTCACCTGAAAACGCGTAGACAAGACTTATAGACAAGATTTTAGGATGGAAAAATCCAAAATGGCTGACAATAAAAAAGTGATTATGAATTTTTGCTGATTTCTTTTTACAAAACTATCACATATACCTACTGTTAACAATAACATAGGCTTTTACAAGAAGGTACACCTGAAATTATTTATAATGCTACTAAATAGTTAAAGTATGAAAACTCAAAAACACCATTCAATATGATACAAAGTATTATCGCACGCTAACTTTTCTTCAAACATTCAAAATGGCTGCCATGACTGAGCTAACAGGTCCAAAACCTAATCAGATCTAGAATGAAGTGAGCTGAACAAGATGTTAAAGTTTTAAAAGCAACTGTGAAGCTGTTTTCTTCAAGTTTGCAGACAAGGATTTTAGCATTTGACTTCAAAATGGCCGACAGGAAGTAGATATCGAGTTAAACGGACAGACGGACAGACGGACAGACAGACAGACAGACAGACAGACTGACGGACGGACGCGCCTAGGCCGACAATATGGCCCCACACTATGTGGTGGGGACATAAAAATATATGTTAGTCTTGATGAAATATCCAAACTTAAATATATTTTGACACTGGTCGATGATCGTTGAATGGCCCCCTTGCACTAATTGTTGCACCTTTAAGATGGGAGATTATGTACATCTTGAATTTGAAGCATTTTGTGCTGCACTACTAGGCTGATAACGATCCAATATATTTATGATAAGAGATGATGTACATCTGGTAATAGGAGCATTTAGCACTGTACTAGGCTGATAATGATACATTTATGATGGGAGATTATGTACATCTTGAATTTGAAGCATTTAGTGCTGCACTACTAGGCTGATAACGATCCAATATATTTATGATAAGAGATGATGTACATCTGGTAATAGGAGCATTTAGCACTGTACTAGGCTGATAATGATACATTCATGATGGGAGATGATGTACATCTTGTATTAGGAGCATTTAGCGCTGTACTAGGCTGATAATGATACATTTATGATGGGAGATGATGTACATCTTGTATTAGGAGCATTTAGCGCTGTACTAGGCTGAAAATGATACATTTATGATGGGAGATGATGTACATCTTGTATTAGGAGCATTTAGCGCTGTACTAGGCTGATAATGATACATTTATGATGGGAGATGATGTACATCTGGTAATAGGAGCATTTTACACTGTACTAGGCTGATAATGATACATTTATGATGGGAGAAGATGTACATCTTGTATTAGGAGCACTCATTGATACATTGGGCTGACAATAATCAGAATCACATACATTGACCTCCAATATCTCAGCATTGGCTGATGTATCTACTTTTAAAACTGATATTGGGTTTGTGGATCTCAACTTTGTTGAACCAGAAGGAATAGGTCTCTCTTCATTGGAACTACTTTGTGGGTGAATAGCATTTAATTGAATCCCACATATGATTTTCAGAGACTTTCTAAATTTTTTGTGCACAGTAACATTTATAAGAAAATTAGCACAAAAGTTTCCTAGAAGAAAAACCCACAAGATGGATCGAATTGTGTTGTTGTCGTCTCCAGTGGCAAAGGCATAAATACCATAAACATCATTAGGAATGACAAGAATCATGTAGGCAAAAACATTGATCAGGAGTGACTTGGTAGCAGAGTCTTGCTCAGCCAAGCGATTAGCTCTAGTAATGCTATTTAGGTCATTACTGAACAATGCCTTTATTCTACCTTTATTCTGCTGTAAAACAATGATGAGTCGTATGATACAGTATGTATTGATTATAAAAGGTATAGTGCCAGCTATGAGAATTCTGGCAATCCACAAAGAGTGAACACCACTGTCAATTACAGCAACAGTATGATAGCTTAGGTTTCCACTTGTCACTGTAACCACCTTAAAACTCATGAATATCTCGGGAAAATTCAAGCTGAATGCTAGTGTGTAACAGATGAACAGAATAGCCTTGATGGTACGTTTGGTGAGAAGAAACTGGAAGTTTCTACGGTGACACAACCCAACATATCTAACCAGCATTGCAATGACAAAGGTAAATGATGAGCATGTGTAGAAAAAATCAATCAACACGAGGGAATAATGATAATATTTGCTCCAGTCTAGAGATACAGGGGGTATTTTTATATGGAGACTAATGAGGTCAAACAGAAAGGCAGGTAGTCTACAGATAACAGCCATAAAGTCGGTGATGCTCAGGGCAAAAAGAATCATGTTAAAATTTGATCTTACCATGAGAGGATGTTTCCAAACTATTGCATTTAATATATTACTTATGGCACCAAACAGAATTAAGATTATGTATGTGCTTAAAATGACACTGAGTCTACCATAATATTCAGATATAGTGTCTGTTCCCATTTTTAGATTTTCTTAGTACCATCTACTTTGTCTAAGACATCTCTTTCATCACCTGAAAATAAAAAAGTTATGTTATAAATTATGTAACCTAACTATCAATAGACATTGCTGACTGGACTACAGGAAGGGCAAAAAATGAAGCAATGGAGTTATATGTAATAAAAAGAAAAATTATTTACATAGATAACAGTTAAGCCAAATTGCATACAAATCCCATCAAACATTCTGTAAGCATGACATGAAGTGACAGTTATGTTCGCCATTTGTGACAATGGTATCTGAGTTTACCGTAGTCAGGCTATTCAGGTGTGATACTAGATTATTTGTCAAAATATAATATATGATGCTTGTACAATGTATACAATATCAACAATAATTCATCATGATGAAAAGGTTGAGGAAGAAGCCCAATAATGAATTCATGATTGGACATGGTATGAGCTATTGCAGGAATTTATTATCCATCACAAGGCATTTCCTAAACTTTTTCATCATGGATATAAACCATGGATATCTTTGAATATACATTATGTAACTTGATGTTTAATGCATTTGTAATACTGTAGCCATTAGAAAGTGTAAAGGAAGTCTAAAAAACACATGCACCGATTTTAAGGGATGAGATTAATTATTATAAAATTGCTACAGATTGTAGAATGACATTACAAGAATAATAACCCTTTTTCTATAATGTTGTAACCAATGTGAATATTGTACAACAAGATTGGGTAGAGTCAGAAACACAAGTGATAGTGAGATGGAGGCAATTCTGTCTACAATCTGGGAGAGTCGGGGTGTGGAGCGCTGGGCTCTCATATTACCCCTACGGTCTGGTATGGGCCCGACGCTCAAGCATGCCCATCTTTGAACCCGGAGTTAAGAGACAACATGAATGTGTATAAAGTGGGAAAATACCGAATGTTGGCTGACAGTATTAAAATGAAAAGATCAAAATATATTTAAGGATTGACACATGATCGTCTGCACAGTTGGAACAGAATAACAGCATTTTAGTTTTTTTAATCGCAGAATGTTCACCAATGCCATGAGATTTCTCCATATACCTCTAATGCCAATAACAACAATTTGCTTTTACAATTTGAGACACACATCATTAGACTGGGATGAGAATAACGCAGATGCGAGTAGGTAGTTACCAATTTCACCACCAGGTGGCTCGTTCGGGTCAGATAGCATGGCGGGTATGGTAGAAAGTTCCCTTTAACTTAAATTACATCTGTATTGGTGGTTCAATTTTCATATAACCCTCATGTATCTAATAGTTATGCTAATTAAAAAATGTCCAGTAAAGGAAAATGATATTTGTCGATTACAAGAAAAGATATTTCACTTTTTGTGACTTTGTAACATGGGGTCTATGGGGATTCAACCCGAACTAGAAATCACATTTTCAAAATAAATTAAATTTTCAAAGTTGATAAAAAAATTTCGAAACCATATTTCTAGATGTACTTTTACATGTAGATTTCAAATATGACATCACTTTGACTGAATTTTGAATATTTAATGACGTAAATCAAGATTATTTCTACTCGCATCTAGTTTATTGTCATACATTCAAAATGGCATCTTATAATCTGTAGTCACTTTTTTGCTCAAACAATTAAACCTCTAAAAATCAAAAGATTTGTATCTGTTTCTACGAAATCTGTATAGTATGTGTCAACATTAGGGCTCAGACGGTTTCATGATTTTCAGTTCAATTTGGTTGCATTCAGGGTTTTTATTTTTTCGCTTTCATTTCAAAATCAAAATGGGATCTGTAGTAATTTTTATGCTCAAACAATTAAACCTCTAAAAATCAAAAGATTTGTATCTGTTTCTTTGAAATCTGTATAGTATGTGTCAACTCCAAAATTTTTCAGTTCAATTTGGTTGCATTCAGGGTTTTTATTTTTTCGGTTTCATTTCAGTTGTTTTTCAGTTCTTATTGCACTTTAATGAAAAAAATCAAACTGACACTTCATCTAGCCATTTTTTCAAGTATCAGACCAACTTTGCACAACCTGCAACTCAACGTATATGGGATCGGAACATCATCTATCATTGTAAAGCCAAAATAGCCCCAACATTGACCTTTATAGGACTTCACTAATGCTGAGTTCTTTCACTGTCGCTATTCATTTTTCATTTCAATTTAGCGAAGAATTAATATACTAAAAAGCAAACCATACAGTTTCAAACCAAACATACCAACTGAGCCCTAAGAACCATGCAACACTGCGGTTTTGGTTTACCCTCGGAACCCTAGTCAACACAACTTCTTACCAACTTTAAAGACGTTTGCAGTATAAGTGCTTTCTCATTGTTTTCAGCATCTATGTTATTTTTCCTACACCTCCTGAAATATCAGATGTATTGGTACATGCACTTGTAGTTATATAAATCTTTAAGTGTATTCTCGCTGTATTCTAACTGCAAATTGGATACTCTTCATCAATCTCAATATGTTAATTAACCATTTATATTTGGATTCTAAATGACTACAATAAGAACTATATTTAACAACTATAAAATTATATTTTATTTATTGATCTTTCTCCTTTCTAAATCCAAATACTGTGTTTAATCCCTTACAAATCTGCATATCTCATCTCTGACAATTCCACAATAATAGCAACAACTTTAGACTGCACAAATGGCACTTATAAATGCATAATATTAGGCTGTTTCATTTGATTTTAATTTCACTTTTATACCATTTAAACCATTACAATAAGCATTGCAATATTGACTCTGATCAGGAAATTACTTACATCGTTTTCTATTGTATTGATAGAAATAATATCAGTACATTTGAAATATGTGGTTGGTACAGGGACAGTCCATGATCTGAAAAGACAATGGTTGCAGTTTTATTTGGCTCGTATAATTGATGGTAGAAGAGCCATGATTAAGTCCAGTTAGAACAGGAACACTGTTTATCTATTTCATTTTGAATACAAATAAACTCATGGGCTACCTGACACTCAGAGGAGCTTTTTTAAAAGCATGTTAAGAAACAAGGCATTAATATGACAAAATGTCACCACCTAGTTGCTCACAATATTAAGAGTTCAATTTTAAGTAAGATTTGAATTTCTGAGAACTTGTAGATGAAAACAATTGGTCATTGAAGGTGAAATCTCAAATCAAGTCAGGTTTGAACTTCTGAGAACTTGTAGATGATTTTAAAGAAAATTGGTTAATTTGAAGCAAGTTGAAAAAATAACTTTTTGACCTTGAGAAGGTCAGTGAAGGTCAAATCTATAGTAAGATTTAAACTTTTGAGAACTTGTATATGATTTTGATTAAAAAAAATTGGTCAATTTGAATCAAATTAAAAAAGACCTTTTTGATCTTTTTTTACCTTGAAAATGTCATTGAGGGTCAAATCCGAAATATTAAGTCTGATTTGAACTTCTGAAAACTAGTAGATGATTTTGAAAAAATATTGAAGTCATTCTAAAGAGTATTTGTTAAGTTATTGGAGGTAACATGTCTGAACTTGTAAGAAAATACTAATTATTTCAACATCAAACTGTCTAACACGGTATTAATTTGAATTAAAACTCCATAAGATTAACAATATAACAATATGCCATTTTAAAATTGTTAGCTTATGATAAACCATACAACATCACTATTATGTATGTATGTTTATATGATTTTAATTATTAAAGAACTAATAAAAAACATTTAAAAAAAACTCAGAAACATGGACAGGGATTCAGGATTGGTACCCCTGAGCCATGCACTTTTGATAGATTTTTTGTTTAAAACTCCTTCTGTCATTCAACAGACAAGTCAGCTAGTTGCCCCGACAAACAGGATATGCTGATTTTAATTGACAACATGCCATCATTAAATTGTTGGATTTCACAACAAAATTTAAATATCTAAGCACGAGTGCCAAGGTGAAAGGACCAAAAGTTGTAATGGAAGAAGTAAGTAATGGAATGCAAGAAAAAGCAAACTCTAAATGCATACCAGTCAAGAAAAACAAACCCCATGTATCCCAAACCCATGATCTAACGTGAAAAGAAATAATGTCTAATACCCCCTTTCCCCATCTTTAAACCTATAAACATATTGACATTGATATAATTTTTTTAATCATAATCATCATAAAATAAAATAATGAATGAATAGAAATATATATATTTATATAAAAAATATAAATAAAAGGTGAACTTACCTGAGCTGAGCATCTCTCTTTAACTTACAGCAATACGGATCAAATGCATCTAATTTTGAAATTAAAATCAGAGTCTGCCTCTCGCTGTAACTGCCTTCTAATAATCTCGCTTCGTGTCTACATGTTTTTATATATGCGCTGATTAGGAATGTGTGATTCTTACTGTCAATTAAGAGATATTCACTGTTCACACTTTTACTACATACCTTTGTCACTCGTAAATTGTCACTCATTAATAAGGCTATAATTATTATTATGTTGACACCCATGGCAAAATATTTCTGATTCTGATTTTTTGGAAAATAGATTTGGGCTCACCTTTTCAAAACATGGAACCATTTTTAACAACTGAAGCCTGAAGGCACACTTTTTTCCTTTTTTATCATTTTACTATTTAGACTGACAGACCAACCCCCAAAAGAGGGATAGTGGAATGAACAAATGGAGAGATCGACATCTTCAGAACGTTGTAATTGTAAGGGTAGGAGATTTATTTAATCAGGATGGTAATATGAAAAGGTATGATGAAATTGTACAGATTGTTGGACAAACTGCTGCAATCTTACTACAGTACAATGTAGTCAAGAATGCACTTTTGAATACCAATGTTGATATTCAAGACAAAGAAATATCATTCAAATATAATAAAATGTTTGTCAAAGATACCACAGCAAAACATTTTAGAAATATGATTTTGGCAAAAGAATTAGTGATTCCCAAAGTAGAAGAAAAATGGAACCAGATTTATCAAAATTTGAGTTGGAAAACTATATGGTATAAATTTTCAAACATCAGAGAGCCGAGACTCAAAACATTGCAATATAAAGTCTTACACAAAATTTACCCTACAAACATGTTATTATACAAAATGAAAATTTCGGAAAATGAAAACTGTAAATATTGTATAACTATAAAAGACACATATGAACACTTCTTTGTCAATTGTAAAATGGTTAAAGGATTATGGAAAGTTGTACAAGACAAGTTCAATGTAAATCAGAACAAAATATTACGTTTGTCAACAAGGGATATACTGTTTGGAACGGCAAATGATGTTATGAACAATTTGGTTTTGATAGCCAAAAATTGTATTAGCAAATATAAATACGGCAACTATGCAAACCTAGAAATGTTATATGAAAATGAACTATATGTAAGAAAATTGTATGTAAAATGAACTGTATGCTAAATATTGTATGTTTAATAAATAATTAAAAAAAAAAAAAAAAAATGATCACCAATTATTATTTCAATGTACAGTAGAACCTGCAAAGTGGAACACTTCCATAAGTTGAACATTTTCAGAGTCCAATTGATGAAAATGACCAATTGACTTAATGCTAAATGAACCACTATTAGTTGGACACCTCCCAAGTTGAACATCTTTGAAAGGTACAAATGGTGTTCTACTTAATATATAATATACAGGTTTTACTGTACATGTACAGCATTGAATTGATTAAATCTTGTAATCATATTCTAAGTAAGATAAATACAGTATATACATGTTTGTACATAAAAAAAGATAATAATAAAAATAAAAAAAATCAAAAAAAATCTTCAGAACGCAGGGTTCCAGACGTCATCCACTAAGTTCCAAAGGAGGTACGGTATAGATGAGTGGCAATGAACAAATGGAGGGATTGACATCTTCAAAACGTAGGGTTCCAGACGTCATCCACTAAGTTCCAAAGGAAGTACGGTATAGATGAGTGACAATGAACAAATGGAGGGATTGACATCTTAAAAACGCAGGGTTCCAGACGTCATCCCCTAAGTTCCAAAGGAGGTACGGTATAGATGAGTGGCATTGAACAAATGGAAGGATTGACATCTTCAAAATGCAGGGTTCTAGAAGTCATCCACTAAGTTCCAAAGGAAGTACGGTATAGATGAGTGGCAATGAACAAATGGAGGGAATGACATCTTCAAAACGCAGGGTTCCAGACGTCATCCACTAAGTTCCAAGGAAGTACGGTATAGATGAGTGGCAATGAACAAATGGAGGGATTGACATCTTCAAAACGCAGGGTTCCAGACGTCATCCACTAAGTTCCAAAGGAGGTACGGTATAGATGAGTGGCTACTGGCAATGAACAAATTGGATGGATGGATAGGGTGGGATGGATGGATGGATTGATGGATGGAAGGATGGATGGTGGCAAAACCAGAAACGAGCGTTCGATTTGCTATACAATATGCGTCACCCTTTAAAGTTTGGTGATGAAGATTCAGATGTATCTTGTCCAAAACAATTTTTGATTGTGAGTTTTACAGCCGGGCCGAGCCCTAATTGGAAATTATAAAACATGGAAATAATTCATCAAAGCAATCTTATAATTCTTGGAAAGGTAACCCTAGACTAATTTTCTCAGAGTTTAAGTCAAATGGACCATATACACAAATGGCTTAAATTACACTGACACTGGGGCAATTTTCTTAAATTAGTGCTCTCTTTAAACTGGGGCTAGAATGCCCCATTTTTAGGCCTAAATGAAAAGGTTGATGGTCTGAAAATGAGAAAATAGTATTTACATACCTCCCATATTGACATTTTAATGTCAAGGGTGTACACCTTATAGATGGCAAACATAGGTATAGGAAGTATAGTTGACAGTGACATCAACCAACCGAGAATATCAGCCCACACCGGAAATTTGTAATCATCATAGTTTGAAGGTTTGAAGTCGATCCATGTAAACGTCATTATTCCCTAAAAATTGAAAACATGTGGTTGTAAGTCATAATATTAGTAATTTATAAGAGGGAATTTTCAAGTACATGTATTACCAAATATTCTTTAAAATTGCCAAATTAAAAGCTAAATTAAACAAAGATATAGTGAAAGATGAATTATTGAGACACATGTGCCTGACATGTGACAGACAATTCTACTCACTACTAAAACGGGAGGCGTAATGTATTTCCACATCCATTTCCATAGTGGATGAAGTGGCTTGCTCAGCATTAATTCAATATCATGACTGAAATTCTCATAACCTGAAAATATGGAACATAAATACTACACTTTGATTATCATACAGTGTTCATGTTATTTCAATAAAAAAAACATGAACAAGGCACAGGGTGAACAATATCGTACCTAAAACATAGCAGTGTGGGCTTGTTGAGTCAGAAAGCAAGATGACCACAAAAATGTTCATTAGCTCATTAGTTCATTAACCCAGGAAGCAAGATGGCCGCCAAAAAGTTAGGCAGTTTCAGAACTTCTTACCATGTGAAATGTGTAAAAATTTGAAGTAAATCCATGATTCGAAGTGGTTTTCCTGGAATAGTGATGACAAGATTTATCTAAAAACTTTCAAAATGGCCACCAGAATGCAAGATGGCTGCCAAAAAGTTAATCACATCTAGAACTTCTTACCATGTGACATGTGTAAAAATTTGAAGTAAATCTGTCAATTGGTTTTTCTGGAATCATGATGACAAGAAAGTGAGACGCCACCCACCACCCGTCAAGCTGATGACAATGGGTGATCCCGTCAAATGGTTATCCTGAAAATGGGTAGACAAGACTTTACCGACACAAGTTTAGGAAGGAAAATCAAAAATGGCCACATTAAAATTTACCCAGAATGCCAAAAATTAGTCAGTTCTGGATTTTCATACCAGAACCACCCCTGAAAATTTGAAATTGATCCGTCAAACAGTTAACCAGAAAACATGTCAACAAGACTTTACAGACAAGATTTTAGGACAGAAAATCCAAAATGGCTGCCTTGACATTTATCCAGAATGCCAAAAAACTAATTAGATCTAGATTTTCATACTAAGAATCATCCCTGAAAATTTGAAATTGATCTACTAAATGGTTCACCTGAAAACGCGTAAACAAGACTTTACAGGCAAGATTTTCATACTAATAATCACCCCTGAAAATTTGAAATTGATCTACCAAACGGTTCACCTGAAAACGCGTAGACAAGACTTACAGACAAGATTTTAGGATGGGAAAATCCAAAATGGCCAACAATAAAAAAGTGATTATCAGTTTTTGCTGATTTCCTTTATACAAATGTAGCAACATTTAAATGATAAATATCAAAAATTGTCAAAATGTTTTCTCTTTTGAATAAAGGGGCAGTGTGCTCTCTAAAATGTGAATTTGTAATTAATCTGACACATTTCTTTTGAATAAGATGTATTGTATGTTCATTTTTACATGACCCCAAATAATATTGCAATAGTTAATTTGAGAAAGGATTAATGAATGATATACAGGATGACCCAAAAAAATGCAACCCTCCATTTCTTCAATATTTTTCTTAAACGGAGGTTAATTGCTCTGAAATTTGGCACACAAGGACTTCATTCAATGTGGGATCCTCTGGCAAAGTTCCAATAATCATAGTCTTATATTGATAGAGTTATGGTCGTTCCAAAATATGCTCCAAGTGTCGTCCATTTCAAGTGTTAAGTTTTCGGATGAATCACATTCCCTTCTTTCTGAACATGTAAACTCAAGAAATAATGTGTTCTGGGATCACAAATTCCAGATGAAGTGCTTCAAAGGCCCCTTCATTCTGTTAAATGCACAGCTTGGGCTGCCAATTTCCAAACATGAAATCATCAGCCCCTTTTGGTTTGAGGTTGATAATGGCAACACTGTTACTGTTAACACACAGCACAATATTGGCGTTCCCAGGAAGTTCTAGGCAGTTCTAGAGTGACATAGAGGCTTCAATAGACAAGAACAGTGGTTCTAGAAGGATGGACCTACTCCTCACACTTCTAATGATAGCATAGCCTGGCTCACTAGTCATTTCTATGAGAAGATTATCTCTCCTAGGACAGAGAACCCATGGTCATCCCACAGTCTTGATCTCAATGCTCCTGACTTCTATATATGGGGTTATTTAAAGGATAATATGTATGAAAATAACCCTACTGCAATTGCAGAACTCCAACAAGCAATGGCTGCAAAATTTGAGCCATATTTTGAGGAAAAATAAAGGTTTTGTGTTCAAATTAACAAATGTTCCAATTTTTTGGGACCAACCTGTAGTCTAATACTGTAGATTATACATGTTCTTAATTATTTCTAGGAACTCCAGGCACTGAAAAATGTACATTGACACCATTCTTCTCAAATAACAACCATATGCTGTCATTATACTTGTACAGGACTATTTAATGACAGATTAGTGTAACAACCATCGTAGGTTTTCTATAAAAGTTACTGTATTAATAGGTATATATGAAGGATTAATTTGTCTTACATGTATATTCAATTTTGTGTTATAACTTGAAAGTGAGGATACAAACATATTCATTAATAGCCAGAACTGGTTCAACAAATTGAATTTATCTTAAAATAGCTTAGTACTATTTACTATTTGGGATTAAGTATGGGTCCTTGGTAAATATGATATTTCCTTTGGTCCCTCAGAAGAATTGTTGACCCGATATACTGCATTAAGTCATTCAATTTGCCTATTGCCTAATTTTTGCCAGGTTTGGAAAATTAAATGTCAGAAATAGTATCTTCATAATGTTATCCAATGGGAAGATTCTTGTTGTTTGGAAAATTAAAATTAGGGAAATGATAAAATTCGAACATTTTGGCAAATTAACCACTCAGATTAAATACCACTTATACAGTAATATATGAGGGGTCTTTAATGGGAGATTTTTGGATACAGGATATATTTTGACACTGTTCCACAACTGGATGACTCTAACTGCAGTTAGCTTCATTCAAGATGGTTGCCGAGATTCTTTCGTTTTCGATAAACCTCCGATTTCAGCTAAACTAAGTTGAATCTTGATTCCAAAAGTTTCGCCATGCAAATTAATAAAACTATGATTGTATTCAACCACAAATGAATGCTCTAACACCCATAATATTAGAGAATTTTAAAGAAAACTACTTCACTTAGAATGACTCTAACTGAAGTTGATGATCTACGCCATCATGACGTCATCATCAACTTCAGTTAGAGTCATTCTAAGTGAAGCCGTTTTCTTTAACATTCTCCAATATCGCGGTTGTTTGAGCATTTATTTGTGGTTATTTACCATCGTAGCTTTATTAATTTGCATGGCGAAACATTTGGAATCCAGATTCAACTTATTTTAGCCGAAATCGGAGGTTTATCGAAAACGAAATGATCTCGGCAACCATCTTGAATGAAGCTAACTGCAGTTAGAGTCATCCAGTTGTGGAACAGTGTTTTGAGGGAAATACAATATATCTACCTGAGGCCGGCTCATAGGACTGATGGTAGATATATCGTATTTGCCAAGGGTTATACACTGTATCCAAAATGGAGCATTGATGGAGGTTACTTGATAGTTAAAATGACATCAATGAAATTGTATTTGTTCTTTGATGAAAATGTTTCCTCTCAAGATGTCACTGATTTCTTTTGATTCAGGACCAGAATAACATATTATTAATAATGTGTTGTATAATTCATAAAGAAGTATGACTATACAGGGTATATGTACTCACCATAGACATAGACAAGTACAACTGTTTCTGTGAACCCCAAGATCAGCACTGAGTACGTTCCTGAGTAGTTGTCCATCAGTTGAAGCATAAACATGCCTCCCTGTCAACAAAATGCAGGGTTATATTGGGAAAATATACACAATTTAACGATACTACATAAAAAGTCACCTAGAAAAGTCAATATTCAGGTTTCCTGGAATAAGGACAGCAGATGTGTTAATTATATGGGATCCATTTAAGTGCAAAAACACTATTAGGCAATTATCAAGCATTGACCTGAAGGCCACAGAAAATACATTCTATGTTTTGCAAATGCACAATTACTCAGATGCGAGTAAGTATTTACCAGCTCCACCATCAGGTGGCTGATTCGGGGGAATTAACATGGCAGGGTATTACAAAATTCCCTTAAACTTGAATATGCATCAGTTTTAGTGGTTCACTTTTCAGATTACCCTCATACATGTGATAGTTATACAAATTAAAATATGTCCAGTAAAAGAAAATATTATCTGCCCAACACAAGAAAAGATATTTCACTTTTTGTGGTTTTACAACATGGGGTCTATGGGGAATCTCCCCGACCTAGAAGTCACATTTTCAAAGAAAATTAAATTTTCAAAACCACATTTTAAAATGTAAATGTAATTACTGAATTGTGAATTTTTAATGACATAAATCAAGATTATGTCTACTCGCATCTGGGATATTGCATGTGAAATATCAGATTTTTGGGAATATCAACATATACTGTAACTATATCAAGACTTTTGCTTAGTTAAACCATTGTAACATTTCTTGTAAAATAGTATGATTTTCTTAATTTTTTGGTTGTATGACTTGTCCGTTTTGGAAATTTTAAATGACACAAAGCATGCTGCATAGGGCTTATTAAAGGAGATCAATGACAACATGGACAGCAGAATATTTTCTAATTTTTTAATGACAGTGTGTATTCTGTTAGTTATACCAGTCACAACCATTTAAGATCTTCCTCAACTCACAATTTCTAAAATCATAGAATACACTGGAAATATAATCATGTATAAATGCTTTCTTTAATTTCTGTTTTTTTCATCTTTCACTCTCCTATTTCTTAAAAATAAATTGGAATATTTGGCACCTCAACAAGATGTTAAACATATAATAAACTTTACATGTATTTAGCCTTATTAGTAGAGTGCATTGCACCCAGAATGATATTTTATCTGAAAGGCCTCCGAAACATGATATTGAATACATATATGTATTATGATTGTATATGAACTGTCTGAGATTACATTTTTTAATTAGTGACAGTAAGATTAAGTGTTATATTGCATATTTTCATAATTTATACACCAAGAACATGCTCCATCATATTGAACTTATCCACATTGGATACATAAATATGAACAGATTTATGAGTGATTTTCAAATGTTCTTATTCATCACAGGTTTTTTCTGGCACATTAGGATATCAGCAGAGGTTCAGATCCCCACTCGTATACTCGTAATTTGTCAAATACGAGAAATAATTTCAAAATACTTGCCATTCGTACGAGTATGGCATGATCTCGAAACTTGTAGTAATTCCTCTCACTCAACTTATTTGTTTGTAGCTTTACATCCCCTTTTAACCACATGTTTTGTCAAATATAGAGACGTTTTTCCAAAAAGTTTAAAACTTTTTCTAATCATAACCTTTCTCGGGAGATTTCAGGTGTATTTCCCGTGCAAACATATGATATAAGCCTGGATATAACCCCGGGGAAAAGTTGCCTGCAAAATCTATATTGTAAATGCTCTGCGCAATTAACCTGTATCCCGTACGCGCGCATTATGCAGTGTCCGGTGAAATTCTGGGATCTGTGATCTCTTAAAACCCTTTTTACTGAGCGCTTGAACCAGTTGGAGACTAAACCCCGCCCGTTTAGGGGCCTAGTCGAAGCTTTGCACCAAATCTAATCAAGACATAATCAGAATAAAATAACATGAACTAACCTACCTTAGAGAAGATAAATCAGAAGTGAAAATGACAGATAATCAACAGTATTTGAGAAATACTGAGTTATTTCTCCTTGCCGAAAAACCAGAAGTGAAGAGTATGGTTTGCCAATTCAGCAAGATTTAATTCAGAATCAGACTGAGTTCATGAATATAACAGTTCTAGTGTTTGCAGTGATTCAATTAAAGAATTGTGAATATGAATTGCATATTTATTATAATATTGTGCACAAATGTGACATACATCAATTAATGTAAATGGATAAATTCATGGTAAAAAGGACAATGCCAGCAAAGGAAGTGTCAGGTAGTCAGTAGGAAGTTGAAGGCCTAAACCAAGGGGGTCCTCTGTAGGCCCTGGAATTTTTGCACAAGCTATTTACTGTACTTTCAATTACAAGTAATCTTTTGAAAATACTAGTAAAAACTCATATAAGTAATTTTTCAAAAAAACTTGCCATTCATACTAGTATTGTTTTTCTGAGGATCTGAAACTCTGGATATCAGTAAAATTATTGCATTGGGCTTAAGGCAAGGACTAAGAAGTTACTGTATTGCAGTACATATGAGTTGCATGAGTTGAGCAGGCCTACCTCAGATGCACATGAGAGTCCTAGTAAAAACATGACTGCACAAATGAATTTATTGTAGAGTATATGAGTTGTATAAGTTGAGTAGGCCTACCTCAGATGCACATGAGAGTCCTAGTAAAAACATGACTGCACAAATACAGACTATCACCAGAGTTGGTCTCCTGCCTTTCCTCAGCACATTGGGAAAACTGTCCAGTATGCATGTGTGGATGGTAGTCACAATCGAAAACTAAAAGTACAAGAGAATAACACTAGACATAATAAATGTTACTGTTTAATTCAGCACTTCTATCCCTATGCACATGCACTTCTGTGTATTATTATTTGCATTCCGATTACAGTAATTAGAATCGCTCTTATTTTTTTATTTTTTTTATTTATTGATTTCTCAATTCACTTATAGGGTATAAGAGTACAAAAGATAAACTTAACTAATACAGTAACAAACATTAAGATAACATTATAAATGTACATTTTTTTGCCCAGCCTTGATTAAAAGTTTACAAACTTTATATCTAACTTATTTTAGGTACTTTTTGAGATTTTAATATGGGGACCCAACCACACGGAACTGTATTCAAAACATTCAAAATCATGTTACAACTGTTAATTTGGCAAATACTGTCTGATATCATTTTCTTAGAATTTTACATATAGGACCATTGTCATATGTAACATCACAATTAAAACATGATTAATAGGATGTTTGGTAACAAAGGAAGTAAACTGACGTGGTTTAACATTCAAAATTCAAAGAAAGATTGTGGTAAAGAATAGCATACAAGTCAAATGCGGCAGCATTTAAGGTTGAAAGTTGCCATGTGCAGATACAGTTCCGGAGTGCAGGGTCCATGTATTAAAAACTTAAATAGATAAAATAAATTATTTCTTCATGAAATCAATATAGTAATTATGTTGTTGATCTTTATTATTGGAAAGTTTCAAGTAATTTTTATCAAAAATCAACAAAATTAGAGCAGGGAGTCCAAGACTTTTGGATCGCCCCTCGTAAATACACAAGAGCTCATTAAGCGTTTTTCAGGATTATAGAAGAGTATAGGAAAATAATGATATTAGTATCTATAAATATTGCTCTCTTCATAATATTAGATCCCATAATGTCTAGTATTGGAATTTTTTTATAGCATATCATAGTTCATAAGAAATAAAATTGAAAAGTTGGCCATCAACTCTTCACAATTATTTCCAAATTACCTGGAAAATAAAAGAATTATATGAAAAGAATTGGTATTTGAGTTCTTCCCTAGACAAACAGCGGATAGATGGACAGATGGATGGAGGACTTTATTATACTTTCATATTATGGTTATAAAGTTGTCACTCTTTATAGTGATATTGCATCAAATAATGTTTGGCCAGCCCATCTTTGTATATCATGTTAACTTTGGGCATAAATACCAGCCGTATTGGAGCCAATCCCGATATATCATGTTGACCATGGGCATTAATACCAGCCAATATTGGTATATCATGTTGACTATGGGCATTTATACAAGAGCATACTAGTATTAGGTAAATGTTTGCATGAGCAGAATACAGGGAATATATTATAAAAAAATATTTGAATTGTTACCTGCGTTCCTAATCCCAATGTTATGAGCATAAGGAAGAACAGTATGGCCCAGAGAGGAGAAAGTGGCAAGCGGGTTACAACTTCAGGGTACACAATGAATGCAAGGCCAGCCCCTGAAATAGACAAAAGAAAATGTGACACAGACGTAAAGCATACATATGTCAACAAGTCAGTTATGATTAAGTATTACTTCACATAACTTTACTAAAAGAATTTCCCTTATTCCCCGAAAGATGTTCCTTGTAAATAAACATTCATTCGAGGAGAAAGTGAGAATTGTGAAGAAATGGGTAATGAATGAAATCTTGCAGAATTTATCATTTTCATATGCATAACCATGTGCTTTCAATAAAACCCCATTGACATAACTCATCGCATATATGACATGTTAACTAGAATTGAACAATAAAGACTTATGTTTCCTGAAATGTAAAGGTGATTCTTGTAAATAAATCATTGTATATAAGCATACCTTGGGTTGCAACTTCACTGATGTCAGTGTCTAACTCATGTGCCATGAATCCAATGATGGAGAAAAGAACAAAGCCAGCAAAGACACTTGTAAAGCAGTTCCCTATAGCGACCACAATTGAATCTCTGAAATATAATACATAATATATTGTTAATAAAGTAAACTGTAAATAACCATACGGATTGACCTTAGATAGTCGAGCCTTTACCATATTTTAATACTTATTCCTAAGTTAATGAAAACGACTCCAAGGAAGATGAAGCTAAAGACTACTCTATAATTTTATATTAGTTTCTAACCCCTAGAAAATATCTGATTGCTAAATAACTAATAATAAAAACAGTCACCTAAGGCAGTTATTGTTGAACTTGTTATAGCTCGCTAAAGTGATGAGGCCTCCCCAACATGGGGACAAGGAGAAGAAGATCTGCACAGCTGCATCTCCCCATACCTACATATACACACAATAATATGTAAAACATTGCACAGCTGCATCTCCCCATACCTACACATACACACAATAATATGTAAAACATTGCACAGCTGCATCTCCCCATACCTACACATACACACAATAATATGTAAAACATTGCACAGCTGCATCTCCCCATACCTACATATACACACAATAATATGTAAAACATTGCACAGCTGCATCTTCCCATACCTACACATACACACAATAATATGTAAAACATTGCACAGCTGCATCTCCCCATACCTACACATACACACAAAAATATGTAAAACATTGCACAGCTGCATCTCCCCATACCTACACATACACACAATAATATGTAAAACATTGCACAGCTGCATCTCCCCATACCTACACATACACAAAATAATATGTAAAACATTGCACAGCTGCATCTCCCCATACCTACATATACACACAACAATATGTAAAACATTGCACAGCTGCATCTCCCCATACCTACACATACACACAATAATATGTAAAACATTGCACAGCTGCATCTCTCCATACCTACATATACAGGGTGATCATAAAGTAAGATCAAAAGTCCTCTAATTTCTGTAAACATTAATGAATCTGGCTCATTTTCTCACAGAATGTTTAATAATTACACATACACAAAGGTCCATGTGCAAGTGATTTTAGACAGTCATATCTATAACCATGACTACTTTCTGGGCATAAATACAGTGATTCTTATTAAAAAAATATGTTAAGTGAAGTAATCATGATGATAAAAATTTCAATCAAACAATCCGAAAAACTTTTGTACCGCTTCCAAAATTACTGTGATAACCAGCAGTCTGGACAAATGCAGATCACAATCAGTTTGATGATTTAAACAAGGGAAGGAGCATACTTACACGTATACTTATAGCATACTTATAAAGACCAACATTTTTCACTTAGCAATCCTTAATAAAAATGGCCAGGTGATATTCTAGAAAAGACATGCAAATGCGTAATTCTCTCCCTACATTTAAGTGATTCATTTGTGTAGAGAGGAACAACGTATTAGCATGACAGAATGCCACCACCTGGTGCCCTTGGGTCTGGATGTTGGACCCAGCCAATCTCTCTGGCTACAGTACTGTATGGTTTCGTAAAATATGGCACCAAACAGTACTGTAGACTCAAACAGTACCATACAGTAGTACCGTGATCCGTGTACGGCACTGTACTCAGATGGTACCATGCTCTTAATGCACTGTATCAGTATGGTACCATGGTTTTAGAGTATGAATTAAGGAGTATGTTACCACCTAACATCAAGGTGGTGAAATAACAAGTACATGTATATTTGGTAATATAAACAATCATAGCAGATAAGGTTAATGTTGAAGTATCCATGAAAATATACCAACATCATCTCAGGATTTCCATTCATTCCTGCATTTTGGCAACCATTGAATCTTCTCAAGGCATGAAAATACATGGTTTTCATGAAGTATTGATAATATTGTATTATTAAATAGGTTTAACTGCTATATATGTGACAAAATACATTAAGATGGCACACAAACAATTATAATGATGAAATAATATTTGGCTTTACCAGTTCACACCGGAATAGCCTGACAACGGTAAAGTCAGATATCGTTGTCACAAATGGCAGACATAACCATCGCTTCAATTAGATTTTCATGAACTGTATGTTTAATAGAGCACCTAGACTAAATTCCTTTGGAATCAATCAAAGTGTCTTATTTAATACTCAATGTACAGTTAATAATGTTGTACCATCGAAATAAAGTCTTTAATTTAACCAATCAAAATCAGATACGGGACAATGGACACTGTAATTACCATATGCCATTGTCTTTCTAAATTACTCAAATTCAGATTCCGTTGTCATTGACGATATTGAAGATGCTATATTGTGGCGATTCACGGCCCAATTTGATCGAATTTGGGATTTCATACGAAACATCATCAAAAGAGCTTAAAGTGGCACTATGCCATAGGATAGCACAATCAAGACCCCTCTGGACTTTTTTGCATATTGAGTTTCACCACATACTGTATATACCCATCTACTTACCAAAGAAGAAGTCCCAAATACCCCTCTTTCAGTGTTAATTTTGCGATTGCGCTGGCTAATCTAATTATTTTTGAAGAAATTAATTCAATTTGAAGTTTGAATATTCCGGGAAAGTCCTCCTGTTATCTGATTGGTGGTTGAATTTGTTTATCATAAACCTGATTGGCTGCCTGGTTCAAGGCGCTTGTGGGCGCTTGTGTGACTCAATGGGGATTCCCCTCGATAGCCGATAATTCTGGAGTTTGGTTGTTCTGTTGATTATTTCCAATATTTCGGCAATAATATACCCAAAAGTTATTCTCAAGATATATTCATGGTATGTGAGATATTATATGAGCAATAACAATAGGACATCATTGATTGTCTGGGGGAGAAACCTATGGCATAATGCATCTTTAATACATGCACAGAATTAGCAACGACAAAATTCCATGAAATGAGGACCAAGTGATTAAACAGTTGAAGCGACGGTTATGTCCGCCATTTGTGACAACGGTATTTGACTTTACCATTGTCAGGCTATTCTGGTGTGCAGTTACAGAGGTTTACAAATTGGCCCATTCTATCTCTGAATTAATGACCAACTGTATACAGTTCACTGGCTTTTGACCTATCAGAATTAAATATTTTTGTAATTATATAATGTAATACCTTAGCAGTAAGCAGTCTATGCCATTGTGGTGTGAGGTAGTAGATGACACCATTTACAGAGCCAGGCAGGGTGAGGCCTCGAATCAAGAGGACTATCAACACAATATAGGGGAATGACGCAGTAAAGTAGACCACCTGGAAGATAGAATATATGACATAATGGAATCATGTATACAGTAGGTTCAGCCAGTATTAGAGGATATATGTCTACATAATTGATACTGCCTAGAAGGTGTTGACGTTAGTCTTATTGCTTTATTACAAAACAAGTTATCAACATTCAACGCCTTGTTCATGGATACTGCCTAGATATTCAACATTACTGTTTACATTACTTCCCTTCAAATCTACTGAATCAGTCTATTTTTAAGAAATTAGGATTGATGTTAAATTTCAGTTAATTGAAATCGTTTTTCTGAAGATAAAACTATCAGATCCGTCAAAAAGGTTACAATCTGTAAATATTGAGAGGTTGAGAGGATTAATTACCCAAAGGATGCATGAGCCAATATAAATCTTGGTATTACTGAGTTCAAATATTCCTCCATCACCTTATGCATGCAGTTAGCACATGGTTTATTGATGTAATATAATTAGTGTTCAGTCTGTTCACCTTGAGCATCATCATGCAGCACCATGACTTGGTTTCATTTGTAATAAAGACACCAATCTGTGTTCTTCACATCTTCAGAGTGGTGTCTGTGTTACAAAAGTGAAGAACTAAAACTGTGATTTATCACTTTTGGTGAAATAAATTTGTACTGCACACATATGATTATGGAGAAAATTGTACAAGAAATGGGTTTAAATGGAGAAAACAGAATATGAAAAAAATCAAAAGGCAGGCCATCCTGTTGCACACAGAAACAACACATCGAGACTCAGAACAGTATATTGTAGTTAATTAATTAATACAGATGATATATTTTATCTTACTTAAAGCTTAATGAATTGTGCCAATAGTAATGCCTTATTGTGACAAAAACAGCTTATTCCTTATGCACCATTCCGGGACCTTCCACCATTTGAAATCTATTTTTAAACATCAGATTTCCTTGTTAGTAGAATGATGCTCGTGTTGAGGGATACACGTGCAGTACTTTGTTTATGTCAATATTTCAATTAGAGACACCATGTATGGTCATACGATCCACAATTAATTTATGAATGAAATGTTTGCTTACGATTTACATATAACCAATAGAGAAGTAGCTTTTTAGATGACGCAGTTAACCACGAAATTAAAAGCCAATGAGAATACAGTCCATTTTATGATGACATTTTCTCAAATTGCCTGAAAGTTTTGACAAAATTATCCGAGGGGGACATGGTTTTACTCTTGGTTTGTATCTGTTCAACAAAAGTGGAGAACATACCTCTATGAACAATCATTTTTTGGAATGGGTGGGTGGATTGTTGCGTTTGATGGGTACAAATCGGGAAAAGATCCACATCGTAGTATTTTCCGAAAGGTCTCTTGTAATTTATGCAATGACGTATTTTAAGATATTGGCTTTCTACTTTAATAGGTTACCTTCCTCCGTTTTATTCATCTATATCAAATTAATTAAATTAAAATTCGTTCGAACGTAACTTTTTTCAAAAATTAATTATTAAAATTAATCACCTACAGTGTATATTAAATCAATTAAATTATGACGACCTTATAAATATAAGTAGAAGGCAGGAGTGCATTTTTCCGAAGGGAGTGCAAAAACAAGCTAAGCTTGACAAACCAATAATTAAGACACTGCTCAGTATTCTAGAATTCCTCTCTCAAGGGGTTATTCTCGGCGATTCCAACCCTGAAACTATACCTAATGTGTAGATGAGTTATTTTCTTCTGTTCCCGATATGAGCAATCATTAGTTCACTGAATATACCGATCATTTGCAGTGTATGCTGGACAAAACAGATTCAGTCAAAAATCCCCATTCCCGGGCACATGTAAATCAAATTCCCCAACCCCAGGACGACAAATTCCTACCCCTGGGGGCAATACTGTGGATCAAAATCCTTACCCTCCCGCGTGGGGGGGGGGTCTCACGCAAACGTTTGAATGGTGCATTACTTGGAATATAGCAGCCGTAATGTTAATTTTTTTGAAGTTTTTAGGCTGAATTAATAAGAGGTTTGATTCAACATACCTTTCCTTGTGATTTGATGCCTTTGGCCAGACACCCAGCCACCAGAGCCCAAGCAAGAAGCAAACACAATGCCAATTGCCATCTTATCTCGCCCATGTCATGAAATCCTTCAGATATATCCAACACAAAGTTACTGAAAACAACAAACACAGAGTGAACTATTCCAAAAATCAATTCAAGTCGTAAGACTGGGATGACATTCAATAAAAAGAACAATGGGCACTCTGGGGTCACATGATGATTTCATTCTTTAAATAAGGCATTAACATGCAAAATGTTACCACCTGCCATTTGTTACAGACACAGACTACCAAACACCATCCACAAAAAAGTTTGCTTTTCTTGTTGGGTTTCTTTAAAGTTTTTAGTCACCCCTCCCTTTGGCATTTGCGCTTATATATTTCACTTTAACTTTAATTTCTGTGACCTTTCCAACCATCATATAAATTGGATATATGTTGCTTACTGGAAATATTCATCACTTGGCATCTTTTTTGTATCTTCTTGGGCCTCTGACAAGTTGCTGATGTGATTGAAGGTCGAGAGACCATGTAGTTGTTCAGTGTAACATGTCCCATTGTACAGTACACCGCTATGGTTTGTGCAGTTTTTTTGTGCTGCTAAGTTGGACAAACTGCAAGCTGAAAAATAGTTAACCATAAAAGGAATATTTATCATCTTGGTCCCAATCTGGGTCATTAGATGCTATATATAGACTGTAATTGGATTAAAGATCTGATTATTGAATAGGTGTAGATTGTGTACATGTAATAGGCATCTATTTCTGATCAATAATGAAAACGTGCACTTTCATTAAATCACAAGGTTTATACAAAGCATTAACATGCGTAATGCCACCACCTGCCATTTGTTACAGACGCTGAATGCTGACCACCAAACACCAACCGCCAAACTCCGAATGCCATCCACAAAAAAAGTTAGGAGACCATAACAATAAGTCACCACTTGTGATTGGGTTTGTATGCTTGAAGACAATTTGATATAGTTTTTAAGCTCTTCCTATAGACCCTTGTGTTTCCTTAACGGAGAATAAAAGTGCATTGGCTTTGAAATCTACAAGCTCTATTAATAAGGCTTAACTACTTGAAAACAAATAAAGATACCTGGTGTGTTCCATTCATTGTCACAGCTAGCCCAGGGAAGAGTCGATCTCATAGAAGCAAACAAGTAGAACAATGTCCAGGCAATGATCATGTTGTAGTAGATTCCAATAAATAATGACACCAGGAACATGCCATATCCTATACCTATAATTTAAAAACATTCTATTAAAAACAAGGACTCAATCATTGGGGAATCCAAATGGAATGAAAATATTCAACAGCGGTTTTACTAGAATTTCTCACAACAGGCTTTAAAGTAAATGAAAACAACAGGCAAAATTAATAAAATCATAAATTTAACATGGAAAAGTTGAAAAGACCCTAAAACAACTGGTGATTTTGTGAAAACAACCGGTGAAAATCGCCTGCTGCTAATGAAACCCCTGTTCAATCTATTCTTAGAAATATTCATGGTTCTTTGTGGAAATCATATAGTAGAAATAAAATTTTCTACTGGTGCATCAAAATGCTCAATTGGATGAAGCAACCAAGTTATTTACTGCTAGATAGAAACTTCCAACTTTTTAACACATACCTAACATCTGTATATGTGCTATTCCAAGAAGGATCACTTTCCTAACTGAAACTCACCTTGGAATAAAGGACTGACTTTCCATACATGGACAACACCTAGACTGGCAAATTGACCAAAGGAAAGTTCAAGAAAGAACAGAGGAATGCCAGCTACAGCAAGCATCACGATGTACGGGATCAAGAATGCTCCTATATTTAAGAAGAATAATCATAGTATAATAATTTAATACAAAATATACTTACATGTATATCTATAGTAACATTGATTTGAATGGCTGGACTTTCTTTTTATGCTGATATTTATCTCTTAGCTAATAAGTTCAATCTGATTTGTTGTAATCAAAAATACCATGCCCCTTGAGTCCAAGCATTACCTTAAAAGTAGCCCTCCTTAAATAAATGTTTACTTATATAAAATTGATTGAAAATTTAATTCAAATTCACTAAACACCGTATGTAAGTACTCTACATAAAAAGTAAAATATTATTTTCCCTTACCCCCTCCATTTCTGTAACAAAGGTATGGAAAACGCCAAAGATTGCCAAGCCCAACAGCATAACTCAGGCACGAGAGCAAGAAATCAAGTTTTCCGGTCCAGGTTCCCCGAGCTGGTTTTGTATCTGAGTCATTGTCAGTTTCCTCAGTCTCCATCATGCTATCAAGATTTGAACTGGTGTCTCCTAGAATGTTGGAAACAAGTTGTTTAATGGACTATATATCGTCGCGTGAGAATAACTTTGTACTAACTGCCATTTTCAAAAAAATTGAGATAGACATGGAATTTTACTATTTGAAACACAGGCTTTCATCTCAGATACATGCCCCATCTCAATTCACTTTCATTAAGCTAGAATTCAGTGTGAAATTGTACCATCTCCAGACAAACAGCTTATTTCTAATTTCAAATTGTCATATCTGATATCAACTGTTTCAACCAATCAACTCTCTAAGAATTGGTCATGTGACTTGCAAAACTTGGAGTTATAACAATCTTATATTAAAACGAAGTATGCCAATATGCATGTTATTGTATCTAACAATAATGAGATTTGACAAAGCAAAACATTATTTTTCATTCTAGATACAATAACATGCATATTGGCATACTTCGTTTTAATATAAGATTGTTATAACTCCAAGTTTTGCAAGTCACATGACCAATTCTTAGAGAGTTGATTGGTTGAAACAGTTGATATCAGATATGACAATTTGAAATTAGAAATAAGCTGTTATTCCAGTGGGAAATTGTATCAACTCCATTTCCATAGTTTTAAAAAAGGATCTTGTAAATTGTTTCAAGGTATGATATTTCATATAAGATATCTCTAGGGTGAGACCAGGTGACCTACAAAAAATCAAGTTTCACATAGCAATACTAAGTAAGATACAGACCTCTAAACTTTCAAACCTTGATTTCTCAGTTCCGTAAAAATGTGAGATAGTACAAAGTTATTCTCATGCGACGATATGTATATGTTCAGCTTTACAACATGGTTAAGCATGTCTGGTGAAACATGTTGAGAAAAATCATAGGATGAATCAAATTTGAAATGATTTTTCTCAATGTTTTGAAGAAAGAAATTAAAGAGAGAATCAGATCTAGCGAGCAGGCCAACAAAAATTGTTTCAATTTTAGAAAATTTCTGGCTCATGTCATTCCTTATCATGTCTATTTTCTAAAGTGCACACTTTATTTCAAGATATATCGACAATAAGGTGTCATTTTTCTATAAGAATGGTTACCATTCTTATTATTTGGAAGAATTTAAACATTTTTCACGTATTTTTGAACTTTGAATCCATCATAACTTCACCAATTTATAACACATCATGAATCTTTTTGGAGATATTGTATTCGAGATTGTAAAGAATAGATTAATAGTTCAATTGTAAATGTTTTTTTGTCATATTTTCATCCCAATAGATCTGATTCTGCCTTTAACTATAAGTATTACAGTAATTTTCCCATGTGAGCTATTTAAATACTTATTATCTTATCTGATATAAAGCCATAAAGCAGTTGACTAAAATATGATGAAATACTATGATGAAATATATTAAATTGATTTAACCTATGTTTTTGTTATTGGCCTCAAGGCTAATATATACATCACAATAATAATGGAAAATCTGATTAGGAGAACCTATTATGTTGTTATACATTTAAATATCAGAGAAATATTCTTAAATGTATATATAAACATAGACTCATATTATCCCTTAAGTTGAATAGCCTTGTTAAAGGCACTGTATAAAGTTTAAACCACTGATATATTTTAACCTTACCCAATGTTATCAAAAAGTTTTTCATAGTCACGCCCGGTGATCGTGAAAATGAAAATCGTGAAAATGTCCCCTCCCCCTCCGTCCCATTTTAATTATTTTCGATTATTTTTTATACAACGTATGGAAACGTATTTTGTAAAGTCATTAATTTTATGATGATAATGTCACTTACAAATATTTATTGCAGGTTGTGTAGACCGTTGATGCTTGATTTAAAGCAAAAACATTGACTTTTGCACGTTGGTGGCGTTGCGCCTTTTTTAATAGATCTTATACCTAAGAAGAGAATCGGCTAAAAAAAATTCGTAGAATACGTGACATATTTTACCATATTGTGCGCCTATTCGTTTAGCAATTAAATCATAAACCTTTTCTTGAAAAAAATAATTTTTGCAGATTTGTTCATTTTTCTACCAGAAATTGCTTGCTCCCCCTCCTTCCCATTTTCACGATCACCGGGAGTGTAGTTAGAAAAATTGAAAATTTTTGAAAATTATTTTGCCAACTGAATGACATCACAGAAAATTTACAATAATTGATATTTTCAAAATCAGTTGTTCTACTAAAGCTTGAGTCGTGTGAGTTGATACCAGCGACTTTGATGTGCGCTATTTTAAAGTCACCACAACTAGTTATCATACACATGCCATGTTTACTGAAAATATTGCTTATCATTTCTCAAAACAGCTTAAATGATGATTTTTTGTCAGAAAAAAGTTTTGTTCTGTTTGTGGTGATACAAACCTGGATTACAACACATACAGAGCATCGATCGCTTTGATATTTTTCATACTACATAAAAAATATGTTTGACATCAGCTCTTTAAAATGCGATATTATAATGTTACCCATGTGACGGAATACTTTTTTATGCATATACCATTTGTCTTATTTTTTAGATTTTAAATTTTTTAGCCAAAAAAACTGATCAGATCTAGATTTTCATACTAAGAATCATCCCTGAAAAGGAATTGATCTACCAAAGGGTAAACCTAAAAACCCGTAGATAAGACTTACAGACAGAATTTTAGGATGGAAAAATCCAAAATGGCCAACAATAAAAAAGTGATTATCAGTTTTTGCTGATTTCTTTTCACAAAATTATCACATATACCTACTGTTAACAATAACATAAGCTTTAACAAGAAAGTACACCTGAAATTATTTCTAAAGCTACTAAATAGTTAAAGTATGAAACCAGACGGACAGACGGACATCGGAAGGACAGACGGACGCGCCTATATCATTAGTTAAAATTGAATACTCAAGACATTCAAAAACAGACTTCCGGACACATTTTCAGAGTTCACATTTTGACAAATAAGATTGCAGCATTTCAATTTAAGATTCTGTTATTAAACTTTAAAAGAAAAATAATACATTAGTTGATTTGAACTTGCCACTGAGATTGACTTTAACTAAATTACCAACAGAGATACAGATTAGGTTAAGCCCAAAAATAAAAATATTTTTATATTTAGTGTTATTGAGTTCAGTTTCTAGAAAACATTTAAACATAAATAATACAAAGAAAAATCTTACTATTTAGTGAAATATTCCTACTATACACTACACGTGCATGTACTTAGTTACTTCGGTCAATATTTGAGATTTTGCCAGTTCAGAGCTTAAGTCAGATTTAAAGTCCCTGTGTAATGTTTGAAAATATATTTTTATCATTCATTTACTATTTGTCCTAAAATGAAGTTATTTTGGAGATATTTTGAAAAAGTTGTCAGCTTTTCATTTCTCAATTTTTTTGGGCAAAAAACATGTGAGGATGAATGCTGTGCATTGGTATGAATTATCCTCTAACCTCTTAAGGTTAGATTTAAAGAAATTTACAATTTCTCGAACAACAAGTCCTTAAAAAACCACTTTTTTAAATCAAAATAAAAAGTCTCACATAGGACACTTTGATAACATTGGGTGAGACTTCAATATAAACCAAAGTGGTTTAAACTTTATATGGGGGCTTTAAGGGGTTATGTCACCAGCACATTTTACAATTTATAAATGCAAACAGCAAAGTACACATAGTGCAGCATAAAGAAGGGAACATAACATAACTCAGTACCAAGTTATTCAATAATATTTATAACTGCCCTTTTAGTTTGAAGCTATATATTAAGATAATAGTCTCCTCACACGCAAATCAAGCTCTACTAGATATTTATCTCATGACATACAATTTATCCAAATAGCCTACATCTACTTTAATTACATCAGAATGAATATAAGGAGATTCATTTAACCAATTCATTTTTGGGGGGGGATTTGTTTCCACAATGTTTTTAAATTCAAAGAAAACATATTAAATATAAAGATGTATGTTAATACTAACTAATGATGAGTTCATTACCAATTTACATAACATTAACTTGTACGTTTCAAATGTTTATTCTATCATCATGTCATCAATAAATGTGTCCTGTACAGTGTACATGTGACAGTATAATGAGGGGTAATAAATTGTCATAAAATTTACCATATGTGCTTTTCTCTAGCCACGATTTAGTTTTTGGACTTTTGTACACAAATAATGATAAAGTCAGACACATTAAGTGCAGGTTGAGCTTGATTAACATGAACCCAAGTCAACTCCAACCTTATTAATTTAAATTAATTTTGAATTAGCACTGCTTGAGCTTGTTATTATCCGGGTGCTTTGTTTAGTACATTTCAATTTCAAAATACTCCCATTTAATTTCGCGAATTTTGAGATTACACGATTCCATGGCTATTCAATTTCACGAATTTCACTACATACACCTACTACTATGTCAACTTGGTCAATGACACACTGCACCTTAACTTCTATTACATTGTCATTTTCTGATTTATTTGATCTAATAAGCCACTGTAACAGACATTGTTACTTAATATCTCATTTATTGCCTAATAACACTATACAAACATTTTACAAAACACAAAATGCAATGAAAAACAATTTCGCGAAGATTAATTTTTGCGATTTTACAACAATCACAAAAAGCGTGAAACTAAATTGCATGTGAAAAATACCAGGAGTACAGTATGTTTTTCAAATGTTTTATCTAAAACTGATTGAATAACTAAAAACCACCTCCTTAACATTAATCCATTATTAAACCTGTGAACCAATGTTAAATATACATGCCGACTTCATCCCGTCAACCCATTCATGCAAAATTAAGCTTAATTTTATATTCACATAAACAAACCTTTAAAGGCCCCATATAAAGTTTAAACTGCATTGGTTTATATTAAATACAATAGTCATACATACTTATAATCTACATTTGTAAAAAAAAATCAAATGAATTATTTTTTTCTCATGGGGAGGTCCCAGTGGAATATGCATATGCAGTGTTGTCATTAACAGCCGGTCCACTGGTCATTATCTGGTTACTTTTGATACGGACCAGTTGATTTTTTCACTAGGTATAGGAAAATAACATTGCAACTGGTCCGTAATATCATTTTGACCAGCAGGTTTCAGCCCCTTAGTGTCTACACTGTGCATATGGTCCTTTATTAGAAAATTAAACCATATGTATCTATCTAATATTTAAGACCTAATGCAATAGTCTTTTTTTAAATGCATTGGAATCATTCTCATTGCAATTTTTTCTGAATGGGAGGCAGACAAATTTTGTAAAAACTGAAACCCATAATAGAATCCAAAGGATCTAAAATAGCAAAACTAATATAATACAACCAATGATTCCAATGAACCTTATTTTCATTGTTTTATTTGAAAAATGTGCAAAGGAAATAATTTGTATCATTATACACTATGTTTAAACCCATATTGTTTATTAAAAAGAATAACAATTGACCTTTCAAAATCCATCCAATATCAATGTGCATTCAGTGAAAACGTTTGAATGAAGCATGCATGCATATAATGACAGAAGTGATTCACATGTTCAGTCACATGAATTATGATACATAGGGTACTAGATTTATGTGCAAATATTGCTATTTCAAAATTATGTGAATCAAAATAATATCATTTTGAGTTTTTAACATGATTTTTTATGTATATGTACTGGAAAGGGCTTGTACATGAAAGTGCTAAAAATACTATTGTACAATCAATTCAAGTCTCTTCCATCATATTCAATAGCTTAAAAGAAGGGGTGAAAACTACTGTTTGAAATTAACAAAAAGTTACATACAATATCTTGAGAAAAGACTAAATATTCCAAACTTTGCACATGGTGAAAGAAAAGCAAGAAACCATGTTGAAAAAGAATTCTCCGAACCTTATCTTAGCTGCACCCTTTGTGCTTATGTGCTTATTACACTTATGGTGGTAATAACAAAAGTCCATGGTAATAAGCAAGATTCAACAATAAGGACTTAGAGCCATTCTTTTGATTCATAAAAGATACCTATAGGTGAAAAGTTTAGAATCGTGTTTCCTGAACAAACCTAAATTGAAGTAAATGGTAAAAAAAATATGAATATGATCATTCTCTTCCTTCTTAAATTACTGAGCAACGTGTCAACAATCTATTTATAAGAACATCATTTCCTAGCTTTAGGCTCAGATTTACACATTTCTAAATTCAAGATGTGATACAGTGATCTCCCCAGCATTAAAGCAAGTGGGCGCAACACACACCTGAGATTTTGAAAAAAGGCTTGCACTCACCTGAAAATCATTATTTGACCAATTTTGGTCTGAATTGTGAAAATTAGAATTATGCACCCACTTGAGAAAAAATCATGTGGAGATCAGTGTAATGTGTACTGGTTTAAACTAGAAAAACAGGAACTCCACGGAGTAGCAAATCCCACCGAACAAAACATATTCTGCTTATTATAGCTAGTGTAAATGTTGAAATGTTTGTGTACTTTGTGATAGAAGCATGAAATTTGGCACAAAGTTAGTTTATACCATTGTGAACTAGGCATCATCATATAAAATTTGAACCAAATCCATTCACTGGTATATGAGTTATCAAAGATTACGTTTTTTAAAAAAAATTGGCCGCCATCTTGAAATTCAGCCGCCATCTTGAAAATTATTTCTTGAACAGAGCTACTGTGTTCCTAGACATGATCATATAAAATTTCAACCAAATCTGTTCACTGGTATTTGAGTTATCAAAGATTACGTTTTTTTACGAAAAATTGCCGCCATTTTGAAATTAAGCGGCCATCTTGAAAAAATTTTGTCGAACATAGCTACTGTGTCCCTAAGCATCATCATATAAAATTTGAACCAAATCCGTTCACTGGTATTTGAGTTATCAAAGATTACATATTTTTACGAAAAGTAGCTGCCATTTTGAAATTAAGTGGCCATCTTGAAAATCTCATATACATATATATTTTTACAAAAAATGGTGGCCATTTTGAATTGAGTGGCCATATTGAAAATTCCTTCTCGAGCAGAGGTCCTACACTCATAAGGCATAAGCCTATAAAATTTGAAACAAATCCGTCAACTGGTATTGGAGTTATCGCCCGGACACACGAGCGGATGGACGGCTTCTCTATATTCCCCTCGAACTTCGTTCACCTTGACAAGATGTGAAATCTCCAAAAGCTAGCAAATTAATCATAGAAAAATGAAATTAGAGAAATAAATATTGAATGCATTTCTACCAAATAATGAGGGTGTGAATTGTAATTTGGAAGAAGTATGTCAATGAAATGACACAATCATGTCTAATAAAATCAATCTCTCCCACACAATTGAAATCATTCGAAAAAGTATGAATACTGCGCATGAGCCCCATTTCAAAACTAGGTATGATACAGATGAATGACTTGATGTGTGTTCATAACAGGTGATGTCTGTCTCAACAGGTGATCTCCCAATCCTATAAAAATCCTATATCATGACACCAATGTCATCTTGGAAGAATCTAAGTATTTGCCAAATAATTACTGAAAGAAGGTTGTTGAATTTAAAAAATATTTTTGAGGGAATTGATTTTGTGTAGGACTTTTAACTAGCTAGCCCAATGGTTCTTTTGGTATATTTAGATTTGTAAGATTTAATAGGACTAAAATGTAAAAAACTAGAAATTGGCAACACCATGGAATAGCAAATCCCAACGTACACTATATATATTCATGAATCTGTAATGTCACAAAGGTATCCTCTACTCTACCTTTGGTCAAATTAGCAAATATTAAGACCTATTTTAGAGATATACAGTATCAGAATTTCCCCCGAACAGATTTAAGCATTTGGGTGACTATTTAGGAGTTTCAAAGGCACAAATCATAAGGACAGTCATGACAGTACAATATTGACATCTAATATAGTAATAATATAACCTTAATTTTAGATTTTAGATCTCTGAGTAATAGCGAATTTCTCCTACTTTAGGCAGCCAATTATGATTTTTGTGAAAAAGTCCTGCAATTTTTAAAGCTGCAGCGGCCATCTTGAAAAAAAAATTTGTGTTAAGCTATTTACCAATATACATCTTTCCACCAAATATGAAAGATCCACCCACTAGTATTCGAGTTATCTTCCGGATGGGTGGACAGATGGATGGACTGACTGATGGACAGACGGACGGATGGATAATTATGATTTACCTATAGAGTTTCTCTGACGTCTAAAGTATCGGTTAATCCATGCTGTTCTTGCTTGGCT